TGCCATAAACATTATTTCTATTATATGACAAGATAAGAGGATACAATAAACCACAAAGAAGAAAAATCATTTTCTGGCCTCGTGAAAGTTCTGGGCTTCGCGTTTCTCGGACACTGCACGAGCATCACCTCAGTGGCACGGGTTTAAGGGGAATAAATTGTTAAATTAAGGGTGGGTTTAAAAAGCAAACGATTGTTTGAGGAAATGGCCTGTATAACTGTAGTGCTGGAATTAGGACCTGAGTGACGATTTGTGTCACTTATAAAAAGTGAAATGGTGTGGAGTGGGGAGGCAGGGGCTAGGGAAAGTCTTGGTCCCAGTAGCATATATTCAATATTATGGCCTCTCCATTAGTTTGGGCAACAGGAGTGGACAAAACAGTTTTATTAATAAAGATGTTCCGCTGTTATGACACTTCATAAAGCCTCAAGCATCCAGCGCTCCCGAAGCTTTCATGAGAGGAGCAGAAGAGGCACGACTGTCGGAGAGGCACGTCTATCCACCAACCTACATTTCACGCTGCCAGCTTGCCTGCCCAAACCAGCCATCAGGCACCCTGGGAAGGGTTTAACACAGTTTTATAAGGGAGGATAGATATAGAGCCAGGCATTGAGCTACTTCCCTCTGCCACCACTAGCTCACGGTAATGAAGCAGCGCCAGAGCATCTGAAGCCCGCGCCTTCCTTCCAGACCTTTGCTCTAGATGCCTTAGAAAGGACGGCCGAAGTTTTAATTACCTTGTGTTAATGAGTCAGAGCTGCCTCATTATGCAGACTTAGTTAATACCTTTCAACTTTAATGGCAATGCTACAGTTTACAGCTAACACTTGGTTGCACTAAGGCTGCCTTTCATCACTCAGTATGTTTTAAATGGGATTAGAAGATTTTAATAACGATTAGCAGCACACACCACCCCCAGATTAGTTTCACTTAGCAGATTCAATGAAAGCCTTACTTGAGGCCTTGCTCTTCTGCAGACATTTCGGAGGCAGGGGCCTGCCTCTACCTCCCTCCTCGCCTTCAGGCAGTGGCACGGGGTGGGGGGCCACATCCCTGCTGGAGAATAGCTCTTCTCCCTCTACGTAGAGAGGGCTGGGGGAAGGGGGGGTCAGGGAAAAATGTGTCACCTGTCCCCTCAGAGAAGAAACCAGATCAATGACCTTGAGAAGAATCTTTTTTAAAAGCAGTATATGCGGCACATTTAGAAGTCAGCTGTGTCACAGCAGACTCACTGTTGGGAAGTGATCGCGTACAGAATCCAAAAATAACAACCATTAAAGACCTAGCAACCAAAACATGTTTACATACCCACTGAAAGCCCACTAGCTGTGATGATATGGGGGGTACAGCAAGATCTGCTCATCTATTTTCAGTGGCCATTCCCTCTTCCCCCTCCTCACTTCCCTGGAAAGTTAGCTTTACAGCCTTTTTCTACATAGAAAAGGAGGAAAAAAATGCCATACAGCATAAAAGACGGGGCTGGTACCCGTCTTCTTTCCCTCCAGAGGGAAAGAAGCAGCAAATGGTTCAAAGAAATTATACCGGGAAGCAAGATAATTCTTTTTTCCTTTAAACTAAAGCGGGGAAATCACCGCTGGCTTAATAGTAATTGTCTCCAGTCTCCTGTCCAAATTAGTTTGGCTCCGCTCTCCCTTCTTCTCCCGTGACCTCCCATGCTACTGCACATCTCAATGCAGCGTTTGCAAGAGGCAGATCACTAATTTTAGAGAGCGGAAGAGGACTGGGTGATTTGTCCCCATGCCCATCCCGATTTACTGAGGACCAAAGCAGCCTGTTCCCACGGGAGCAACCCACCAAAACCAGAGCGCGCCCCTCGAACAGGGGAATACCCAAAAGAGCAGGAATCTACAGGGATAAAAACACACCAATGGATTGGGCACGGGATCAAAGGTTTAGAAATGAGAGAAAGGAACAGAGACGCTGGAGCCATGGCGGTGAAAGGACCCAGTGAGCCAGGCATTATCCCAAAACTGTTGTCGTGATAACCCAAGAGGCTCAACAGCCACCGGCACCCTCCCATTCAAATGGCTTTTTTCCTAAGCAAAATGCACCCAAAGGTCTTAAAGAATCAGAAAAAAAGGGCTGAATCCTGCAAGGAAGTCTCCCTCTCCAGTGCCGGCCACAGCCTGGTTTGGTTTTGAGCTAGGAAAAAGCGTCCCGTGCTGTAAGCAATAACACAGCACCGCTTGGGCGTGCGTTTGTGTGCCTGGGTGAAAAAACTCAGACTACCTTCCAGAAAGTTCAAAACTCTGGATCGTACAGACTTTAACAGGAGCCGTAGGCACTCAGCACCTGTGGGAAAGTCAGGATGTTTCTGTAGCAGATCACACAGACCTGACTGCCCCTTTCTGCCCCCTATGTTTGAAAACAAGGGTCTCGATCTTTAGGAATGAGGGAACAAACCAAGATAGGTGCAGTCCCCTCTGACCCTTATCAAGGCTTCACTTTAACTTGAGTCCGTACAAAGAAGCCATTTCTGATGGGATGATCCACAGTGGCTTGTCAAGGGTCAGGGTGTAGTGCCAAAAGGCAGCACAAGCTGCTGGGGGAACAATGCAGCACGTGCTTCAGAGGTCGAGCCCTGCGGGCAGCTGCTGGCCACCATCAGCCCCCCAACTTCAAATTCGGATTTATTTTTCATATTCAAAGCTACCAATTGCGGTACCCTGTCCAGCTCATCGCTATGATCCAATTTTACTCCACTTGCCCCAGAAAGCACAGCTCACCAAACATTAATTTTAGCTGATGATCCTTCCACGACGGTCTGTACGGCTCTCGGGTACCACTGCGCTTCCACAGCAGTACTGCTGCGCGTTAGTGGTGAGCAGGATTTGTAAAGGCTCTTAAAAACCTTCAACGTGAAGCTGATGTACAGAACAGAGGACAAAAAAAAAAAAATGCACGTAAGACACTAGGACTTACGGGGAGAGGCTCGGGGCTCCACGTATTTAGTTAGTCCAAAGGACTGTTAAGGGGTGACTTGATCGGTCAGTAAACACCTGCAGACATCAGAAATTTGATAGGAAGGATCTTCTGTCTAACAAACCAAAATTAAACAAGATCCACAGCCTGGAAGCTGCAGCTGAACAGGTTTAGACTGGAAATAAGGCATAATTTTTCCTTACCAGCAAGAGCAATTAACTATTAGAACAACTTAACCAAGGGCTGTGGTGAATTTTCCATCACTGGAAATACTTTAAATCAAGCTTGGATCATCATTATTTAATACATGCTCTGGTTTGAACAGGTATTGAAGGACGTTCTAGGAAACTGTGCACGAGGTCAGGTTAGATCACAATGAATCATACTGGTATGAATTACCCGGATTCTAACATTTCAATATTAACATGAAGAATTGTCAGAATTACCCATAAGCAGCAGTCTGGAACAGCGAAAGGAGGAAGCAACCACCTTTATATGTCATTTGTGGGAGATTGTGGGAGATTAAATTTAAATACATTGTTGTTTGCCTTAATTGCTTGTTTGAATCCGATTTTAAGGTTGTATGATTGAAGTCCTCACATCATTAAGTGCTCAAATACAGCTAATACATTTTATAAATGACTTGCACAATTTCACAGGCAAAGAAGTTCAAGATAAAAAGCAGCCTACAAAAAAAAAAAAGAGAAAAAAGAGGAAGATCACCTGCAAGTGGATAGAAAATGCTTCAGATGAGACTAGCGCTAGAATGACCAAAAAGCTGCGAAGTCCTAACTGTGTATTTTTAAAAAGAGCCCCAGTCCCCAAGAGTTACCAGATGAGATTTTTGACCCATTTCTGCACTATAAAAATATCACAGAATTCACATGCAGCCTCGAAGGACGTACCCTGGGGATGCAGAATTATCTTTAATTGAGAGACCCACAAGAGGCATTAAGTTATTACACACACTGAAGAATTGGGGATGACAACGACAGGGGGAGTACCCTGGGATCGGTTAGAGCTCCCAAACGCGTCACAGCCATAACAGTTTGGCAACCCGACATCCAACGGTGGCAGCCAGGAAAACAAAGTGTGTGTGCATCGCTTAATATCTAATTAAAAGCCACAATTCCCCTCCCGCCTCCTTCCCCTGCAAAAAGCATCTTAGCATTTTGAGGTTCAAACGCTTCAGAACAGACAAACCCAGTCCTCCCTGGACTTTGCACAGGGCTGTACTTCCACAGAAGCCCCAGTTTCTAATAGCTCCCGTTAAAATAGCCCCAGCAGTAATTGCACAATCCCCCTGTTCCTCCCATTAATACGGCGTGTGAGCCGCCAAGACGCTGCACCACCGAGCGCCGGAGAGACCCTAAGCTCAGCTTTGGGAAAGCACTAGCTTCATTGCAAAACCAAGCAAAATGCAAGGGAAAGGTGCCTTCCCAGGCAGGCGAGCTTACGAGAAAGGCTGTATGACTGAAAAGGGGATGTGACTCATTCAAAGCAAGAATCGTTTGCCCTAGGAAAGCGAGCAAAAGTTTTGCAAGGCCGTAGCCAACTCTAGCATGCTGTCCGCGGAGGGAAAATTCACAATGGGTCCTTTCTCTTTTTTCGCAAGCCCAAAATAGACTACGGCAGTTTGGGGTTCGCATAACACAAACCATCAACTGTCACATTCTCAGCTGCTTTACTATAGCATGCTATAGCAGCTAACTCATCCCGACAGAGAACAAATATCTGTCCTTTGGTTAAATAGCCTTGAAAGAAGATGAGCAATGTTATCAGAAAACATTAACAGGAGATCAGCATGTTTTCTCTGAGCTGTGTGGGTCTCATGGAAAACACCAGCAGAATAACAATACGCCACAAAGCAAGGCAGATTTCATTACTTTGGAGTGCCTGCACTTGCTCATAACCTGGATTTACACACTGCAAATCCTCTGATCTGATTACCTCCAGTGATCACGTAAAACACCGGCTTTAAACTCTTTGCCTCAGTGATAAAACAGCCACTTTGATTCACAACGACACATTCACAATAAAGTATACTGTAAACGTACCTGTCCACAGCCGGGGGCATTGCACACAAACGGCCTGTCGTCTCCCATATTTCATGCAGCTGAGCTAAGCTGAGGGGAAAGGAGAGAAGAGGAAATTGTTAAATAAGCTAAAAAAATTAAAAATATCAAGAGCAGAAGCTGCCCTTTGCATGGCTGTAATTAATCAACGCTGTGCTCGCAGGGAAGGAGGATCTCTTTGTGCCCTAGACAAAAATCAGGGAAGAGAAATTAATCCAACCCAAGTTTAAATAAGACTTCAGAGGGCCCAGTCGATTTTTCACATATGAAGAGAAAGCGCTGCACCGCGGCTAGAAGGGCTCATTGGGAACCGTGGCAGTGAGACAGCGCGGGCCAGCGGGTAGGAAAGGAGCAGGAGTTTTCCACGCCTGGGCTCCCACCAGGGCCCACCACCAACCCTCTGAAGGGCCAAGGGACTTTCTGCGTCTCAGTGTCACCACCTGCAAGACGGGGACAACGCTCATCTCTTGCAAAGGGCCGCCTGGCGCAGCAAAGACCTACGAAACATCCCCCAGACGGAGGATGGCGAGGAAGGGCACAGCCTGCTTCACCTTCCCTTAGTATTTACAGTAGAAAGCACAGACACATAAGCAAAGACGGTTACAATCTACAGGGAAAAAAAAAAAAGTGCAAGCAAGAAGCGATCAAATAAATCCAAGTCCTCTCTATGTACAAGTTATATTTTCAATGGGAGAGAACTAAAATTTGTCATTTAATTAATTAAGGGATTATAGGAGTGGTGCTCCGTTTTACAAGGCAATAATCTGGCTCCCTAGTGGGTAAACTACAAGGCTGATGGCAGGAGTAGTTTATCACAGATTATAGCCAAGGATAACAAAACACTCGGTCCTATTATGCTACAAGTGAAGCTATTCTTATTAATAAAAAATAAGAGTAAATAAAGTAACCCCCACCACCTCAAATTCAAGAAATAATGGTTCCCTCCACCCACTGATATTTTTATAGCAGGATTTTAAAAAGCTATAATAAAGCAAATGCTATCTCTTCAGGGGGTTTACTGTGCGAACATGTTCTGGCTGTTCATGTTGCTTCCAGCATCTCTTACTCCAAGTTCGGCACTTGGCTTCAGCGACGCATGTCAGCTTGCTACAGCCAAGAGCAGAAATGAAACCAGAACGCGGCCAAAACGCATTCACGAAGACACAAGCTCTTTTAGTTAGCTTTCTGCATTTCTAACCATTAATACACACGCGCGCGCATGCACACACACACACTGAGCAGCAGCGAGAGGGTGGGGAGACTTGTTATTTTTAGGAGCTATATGAGAAAGTGCTCCAAGAATGCGACTTAGCAGCAGAGGATGAATGCATGCGCTACAGAAAACAGTCCCCTTTTGCTTTTATTGAAAAGACACAGAAATCAATTATTGTTTAATATGAAAAAAAGATTATTCTTCTATTACCATGCGCTAGGGCAGCGTGCGGCTAAAATGGGTGGCTACAAGAGGTGGAATTCCCCTCCCTGAGCACTGGCTCAGCCGCAGCACATAACGGCAACAACCAAAAGCTACAAGAAAGTAGCTGCCACTTCTTCTCCCACAAAAAGGGGAGAGACATCCACAACACTAGACTATGTTTGGATTTATTAAGCAAAACTCCAGGGCCTATGCAAACAGGAACTCACAAAGGATAAATAGCCCTCTCACAAATGGAACAGGCGAGCAGCCAAAACGCTCCCTAGCATAGGACAAGCGTAGTAATAAAGGCAATAAAGATGGCCAGGAACATCCACCCACCACAGCAGCCCCCCAGAAAAGCCCACAGAAGTGAAACGGGGCTTGCAGAACCGGAGGGTGGCGCGGCAGGAGACGACAGCAGCTTTGCATGGGAAGATTAAATCCTGGCAAAGGCTAGCCTTGAGGTGACACGGGCGCAGATGACAGCAAGACGAGTCTGAGTGAGGACACATCAAAAAGGCAGGACTCTTCATACCATCCTTCTGAACTTCCACCAAAGCTCCCAACTGGGAACTCGAGAAACCAAAACACTGACCCGTTGCTCCTGCCTGCTAAACGAACGGGGATCTCGCCTCCATCTCTCCACAACCAACTGACCCTCCTCCAAGAGGAATTTCCTTCAGGCCCCAAAGCAGCTGACTTACATGCATCAGCTGCATCCTAACAGCAGACATATGAGCTGCTGTCACGACCTGCTCCGAAGGCACAGAGAAGCCCAGGTTTCCTCAGGAAGTTTTAACACGCAAAAGTAGTCTCTAGCAAGGGGGGGGATGAAGAGGTCAAACCTTCTTGTAATACCAAACCACTGCTCAGATCAAATCCCTGACACTGCAAAGAAGAGAAGCACAGAACTGATTAAACGCTTTTTATCACCTGCACTTGAGGTCCAAAAATATTGCACCTAAACCTTCCAGTTAGCTGCACAAAAAGCTACAGCTCTGAATGAGTCAAGACACAGGGCTCAGTCCTTCATCACCCACTTCGAGCAGAGGGCAGCCCAATTACTACTCTTTCTGTAAGAAAACAATAAGAGAAATCAGACCAGACACAAAGGAAACATCAACTCACTGACTACTAGAGTTATTTTACCATCACCTTTGCAGTATGGCAGCTGGTGAGACTATGATATCAGGACACAGACCAAATAAAAGTCAACAGTTGCTGTCTTGGGCAGCCTGGACCTTGTTTTTTTTTCCCCCTCCCAACAGTCTTACTTTGCGCCTGTCTTCCTTGCCCATAAGAGGCAAGGATCTGTCCCACAGCTCTCAGCACAGCCGACGCTCCCGGGAGCTGCAGTCTGTGTTGTCTATCAGGCTGAAGGTAGACACAAGAGTCATTAGTTCCAGATTTCTTAATCCCTATTTAGTCAATGATTCGTGCACGCTTTGACAAGTTGGTTACCTGCCTACAAAGTGAGGGGCACAAGTTTGCACTCGTGGGGGCTCAGGGGTTCGTGTTTGAACGGCACCTTGACGATGTAAATAGCACCAGGAATGACCATACTTAGAGCTGGCGAGCTAAGCGCGTGGCCGCATGAGCCTGAAAGCTCCTCTCAAGTGTCCTCACAGCCAGGTACGCTGGTGAACTGGTCTACAAAGGGAGCCTGGGGCACCAGTTTTTACAGTCTGTTCTCAAACTAACCGCAAAATTCCCAAGTCCTCTGCCGGTCCAGCACCGCATTCAGCAATCGTCAAGTGATGAGGCAGCTCCAAGTTAAAAGCTGTGGTACTGAGACAGCAGCAAAGTCACAGAACTTTAAAGGACAGTTGTAATGCCCCTTGCTGTCAAAGTCAGGCTGGTGCTGGAAGCGTTTGAAGACTGTTTAAATCACCCCTGCACATTTAAACTCGGTTGTGTGGGATGAGGTTGGGGATGCATTTATTTCCATCAACAAACAAATCTTACTGTTAAACATGCAGCATAATGATTATGGAGGGAGCTGCTGTATTTCACAGGGCAGCCAACCCTGTGCTTTTTTTAATTAACACAAGGCAGAGATCTGTCCTTACCGCTGTCACTTAAGCAGCTTGCTGCCTTTGCCAATATGAAGAACTTCGGGGTGTCTCTACCTCATATTTATGCTTCCGATGCATATAAAAGCTATTTGAGAAATTAAAGAAATGGATCAGCTGTCACTCCCCGGGCTTTGATAACACTAACTGAAACGGAGAGCAGGAAAACAAAACAAAAACCCAATGGCATTTCGGGCTGCCTGCCAGCTACTTCTGATAGCATAACAAGCAGCTCTATTAAAAAAAAATCGGGACCAACACACTGCAAAAAACCTCAGTTTACTCTATCTTGCAAAGTGTCAGGAGGATTCACTCATTCTTTAAAGAAAGATTTAGCTGCTCGTTCACTACAGAATATGACTGGTATGTACATACATGTGCTCAGATTTATATCACATTTAGTCAGGATAAATTGCTTCAATAAATTCTATTCTTAAGAACAGGCAGAATAAGCAGATGATTGGATACTGGGAACACATTCTCATTCCTCTTCCTGCAGCCACGGGACAGTATTTCACTGTTTTGATGATTCTTAGCATGTTGGAAACAGCAAGGGGAAGCGAAGAAATGCAGACAGATTACTGAAGCGTGCTTCAAAGTTCTGTCAGCACAGACCTGACAAGCAACTGCCGTCTCACGGAAAACAGAAAAGACATTTTCAACCAAAATAGACTGTGCTCCCCAAGTCTGTATGTGCTTTTCTCTCTCTCTTGCCTTATTAACTCATGCAAATAACCTATAGTCTGTCTGTAAAAAGAAGTAAACCCAAAGCCACACTTCACAGCAGTCTCGAGCGTATGTCGCGCTGATAATCAGGCACCCCTTGGAGTCTGCACAGGGTATTTAAGAGTACAAATTTTCTGAAGACGAGCTTGCATAGAGCAGCGCTCTCAACGGCAGCAACTCCTCTGGAGCACGCACAGCATGCGGAAAACAGAATAAGCATGAGCTTTGCATCCAAAGTTGCGTCTGCTCCGTAGCGGATCTCGTTCCCACTTTCAACCGCAACTTTAACTCCCCACCAAAGCAACTGCAGCATCGCGAGGGGTTGTTTGCAAAGCTGGACAAGCGTAGCCAGGACAACAGCCACACTTCACCATTTCTCCAGCACTGCTTTATCCAAGGGTGTCAGTGCCGACAGAGCAATGACAACTTTTTCCTGAAGTTAATCTTGTTCTCAATTTGTTGGGGACATCGCCTCTTCCTACTTCTGGCACAGAGATAAATGTGAAATATTACGTGGAGTGGTTCAGTGCATGCCAGGATGCTGGGCTGACATTGAGCTGACACAGGAGGCACTTGTGATAGCATCTGAGACGAGGGGCTCTTCTGCAAACGGAGTGAGGCAGAGCCCCAGAGCAACGTTCACCCAAGTCCTATTCCCAGCTCTGTCACTGCCTTGTGCTGTGATCTTGGGCAACCCACTTACGATTGCTTTGCAGCTAAAGAAAACAAACCCCCTAGAGATTAAATGCACACCCACGTAGGCTCCACTTATTCAATTGCTGCATGAATTGCATTTGTAGGGTATGAAGACATTTAAAGTTTTAATTCCACAAGGA